TATAAACGAGGACGTATTTAGGTAATGCGAGCACATGGGTATAAATTATAATCCGTTTTAATGATTACTGCATATAAAGAAACGTTACAAATATAACACACTAGATGGCCTAAATTGACTCCTGTAAGTGCTCACTACTTTATAATAGTAGCTATCTCGTAAACCTATATATGTAGCACGTCCGAGTTCGTAGTCTTCAGACTGCTATCTCTGCTATTCGTAACACACTTATATTACCAGTACACACAAGTATGCTACAGACTCTAAATGTACCGGCACCCGTCTAAATACGCATGACGTATACCTATTTTTAATCTCTTTCTTTGTCAGACTTTCGCAACACCAATCCTTTCTCGGCCCACTCGAGAATATAGCATTAAATATTTGAGGAACTCACGAGAGAAAACAGCCCACGGACATTTTTTATTTTCAGCCATCCTTATAAACTATTTCTAACAGGTGAAGTGTTGCCACTGGCTATAATTGGATAGGCTAAAAGGCAAGCGTGCCCGTGCATGATGTAGGCACATTGCAGCAGTTTGCACAGCTCTCCTCGGTAATCACTGAGCCTTCCCACTTCTAACAACTTCAGCACACACAGTGCTCACAAGTCTAACGTAGACACCTACAGGTACACCTAATGTACGCCTTCTATAGTACATATAATCAAGAGCTAATAAATACCTATTGTATTTATTTATTTTGTTTTTATAGTATTGGTATTTATTAGCTATTGATATATAATATATAAACACGCGCATACATTGTCATATGTATATATATGTAACCAGTCATAATCTTAGATGGCATTTTCGGGACACATAAAAATTTGAATTATACATATATATCAGGAGCTAATAATGACAAATTTGTCATTATTAGCTCCTGATATATATATATATATATATATATATATATTATATATATATATATATATATATATGAATACCTACCAGGGTGCACTATAAAATTACTAAACATAACCACAACACGTCGCCATTGCCATACGGCACTAAAACCACCGACACCAAGTGGTAAAACATATTTTATAACATAATTTGAGGTAAGAATCTTGTAAGCAAAGGAACGAGTTCAACCTACTGTACAATTGTATGGGCGTGATTTGGACACGAGCAACGAGGTGAATGGCACAAACTCTGGCCAAGCAGAAAAATTGGCCAGCCCACGAAACTACAGACCACAATGGCCCGCCATTTTAGCAACACAGGCAGCTACATGCACGTCACATCATATAATTCTCAACATATCAACAAGCAATACAGGGAGAAATACGTGCATATATCAATGTGCACGAGTCGTTTTACATTTTTTTTACCAAATATTTATTCCATATTTATAATACGATCATCGGCACACAAATGTATTTGTGGGGTGTAAGAATTTAGTTTTGAAGTAATCAATATGGCATAAAATCGCAAGGTTTGGATCTATTGGACCAAATTGCAGTGTAGTCACAGTAAAGAGTTATATTGTCGGGTGCATCTGGAGCAGTATGACCACGTGTACGCCCATCTTTATAGCTGAGGTTATATTGCAAGATATAGTAACCGGACCTGGCCCTGGACCTAATGTTTTGCTAAATATCTGTTCACGAAACACCAAAGTGTTAGGTTCCATATACTATACCTTCTCCATACGATCCCAATTAAAAAATAACAAAATAAACTGTTTATAATTTAAGCTGCTTGACAATCTATTACTTGCACATAATTGTATTCACTACAGTCGAGTTGTAATAAAATATGTCTGCTAGCTGCGATACAATATGTGCGACTCACCCAGACAGACAACAAACATAAACATGCATCCACCTGCACGCATTTAATCAAATACAGGTATAAACTGAGGTTGCTATGGCAACCGCACCACGACCAGCCAGACTGAAGCATCTTCTTGCTCTCACAGAGAGGTTAAATGCGGCGGGGAGGGGGTGAGGTAAAACGCCATCATAAATGTACTTTACAGCCCCCCAATATGCATTTACGGGGTGTAAAATTAGATGGTGCGGGCACAGAGAGGCATAAAATAGCCTAGCCTGTTTTCAACTGCGACCTTTCAGGCAGATAAAACTTGTTTGAAAATGGGAAACACCCAAGGTGTAATATACATCATATGTTTACGCAAAACTAAAATATTTTAAATTAGGAATCTCAATTACAATCACACGGCAAACAAGTAATCGAACCAATAATGTGGATACAAGGTGAGGGACGTAAAATATATGTACTACTAACGAGTAATCCCAAATATTACATGTATGCGATAAGAAACAGAGAGGGGACAGGCATTGTTATACACAGTACAGAGTTACCAAGCATGCACGCGTCAAAAAGCTGTGTTTTGCCAGTCAATAAGTGATCAAAAGAGTGCATTGTTCGTTATCTCTCGGATCAAAGCAGTTTTGATATACACGCGCTTCTTATCCCTAGATACACGATTCAGATTCAAACACAATGCACACGCACGCAAATGTACACATCAGCGTACGGCAGCCTGGTCAGCCGCGTTTGACTTGGCAACTAACACCCGGCCGCGATTTTAGATCAAATCCCTTCAATGAGCCGACTTTACCCGAGCTTATTAACACCAGGCGTGAGATTCTAGAGGAAAATCTATAAGTGACTGACTATCACTGGTACAGAACCTGCGCGGAAGCACAGGTGTTAAAGGCTCACAATGCGCATCCAAACGCTAATTTCTCCAGTACTAGACTAGCAAATACTTCGTGTCATGCATAATCACACTACCTTGACTACACTATCATGACACGAAGTATTTGCTAGTCTAGTACTGGAGAAATTAGCGTTTGGATGCGCATTGTGAGCCTTTAAAAGACGGCTTACGCCTCCACAGTGTCTACGAAAATGGCAGGTCACAGCAAGCGCGTGTCTGTACGCGCTCGAAACACGAGTATTTGGTGGTGATACACGCGCGTAACCCGAGCCACATGTAGATCAGAGTAAACATTCTGTGACGTGGGTCATTTAGGGCTCAGGGGGCACTAACTGTAAACCGTAAGAGCCAGTCTACAGCCTCCCTATTGAGCTCTAACGGATAAACTAACAGTGGATGCAACCAGAACCCTCCAAACTAAATCCACTGATAAACCACTAACGAGACTGACCACAGATGGACACGCCAAACACATTGGTCCACTTACTTGGCTACGCAACCACCCTGGCTAAGGATTCCCCTGGGAGACTGCAAGATACATCTACCGACTCAACAAATAGACAATCGCATACATTCTACTCCTGATTCTATCAAATACGTATGGTTGAAGCGCGGGGTGGCCACCACGCCACCCGACAAGCGGGCCATCGCTTCCTAGTTCCCAACATCTGGTAGCCGACGTCTCGGGTTGCGATTCGGATGCATCGTAAAATGGCGGAGGAAAGTAAAATTTCGAGGACATACTTGTGAGTGTTCCGACCCTGATTTATGTACTTGTAAACCGTGCCGACCGCACGTTTATTGCACACTCACGATCGCGGCGCATCGTGCTTTTTACACTATATATATATATATATACAGATTTATTTATTTATATTTACTTATTTATCATCAAAGCGTCGGTTGCGTAACAATGTCAGCATCATGGGGAGAATGCGGGTGGGTTAAGATCGGCGCATGCACCCGCCGTGAGACGCGCGGCCGCTGACAGCGTCTCCGCATGATGGGTTAACGATCGCAGAGAAATTTAAATCCCAACAATCAGCCACAGTGTTCGAAAGCCGGCTAAACATCAACCGACATCCTCCGCTGGCGTCTTAAAGGTGATAAAAACTTGCGCTTCTGCCGAGCGCCTTCAGGCTGGGGTGGGGGCACTCGTCTCGAAACTGGATAAGGGGTGCCTCAAGGACCTTGAAAACCTGACCCTATCGCAAACCGCCCTAAAATACACCCTGTCCCAATATAATGCACTAAAAAGTATACCCTGTTGCAATATTGCACATTTCGGTTATGTCCTGTCCTGTCAATATAGGCAGATATTGGTCCAATATCGGCCTGGTGATATTGGCCAAATATTGGTCCTCCCCCCTCCGAGACGCCACTAGGGTCTCGGTGCAGAAGTATCTATAAGTATAAGCAAGAGTCGGCAAGTCCGCCAATCAAAATGGCAAGATCACGTTTCCAGCGAATTCATGGTAATCACTGAGGTATGACTCGTGAGGGGTACATGCTATTCTCGACATACATACATACATAAAAACATGTTTAAATACCAGGTGCCTGCCTGCTGGCACAGGAGGAATTTCACTACCTATTTTCTTCTACGCACGTGCATAAAGTTGTGCTAAGTACAGCATGCTTTCTATAACATGGATTATATTCTCACTTTTACTCGCCTTCCCTTATCACCTTTACAGACAACAGTGGTGAAGGTGCCTATACAAAACAATAGCACTGGTAGACGAACCAGTCCTGGCGGAATCTGAACAAGCCTTGAAACAAATAAGTTACACACATCTCCCGGAACAAGAAGAAATTGCTAAGCAAATGCGGTCCCCTGCGTTGCACAGACAGGTTGCTGTTAGAGACAAACGGATACCCGACTTTTGCAGACATGTAGGAATCAAGTCAGATTCTATGTGCTACCATGAACACAGGATCGAGTGGACGAAAACATGTTTGTTTTTTTATGCACTACTGATAAAACAATAAAGACACAGTTATAGATTGCACAATGATATCTTGAGTATATTTAATCATACGGTGAATTGAACAAATCTTTGGCTGAAAATTTTATTCAGCCAAGCTTAAATATGGGAATCTGTATCAGATAATACTTAGTTAGTAGCATGACTGTGGTGTTATTCATAAACATAACTTAGATTATGTTAGACTAACTATGAAAGTATATACAACAAGTCAGATATAGCAGCCATAACCATGGCATGATATAATATTAATATTAATAAGCACTACATAAAACTCAAGAGGCTATAATAATTAGCTGGCGATAATAATTGGCTTACCTGTTGATAGAAGCGTGGTCAGTATCGTGCCAAGCACCAATGTCTTATTCATGGCTCTAGTCTTGTGTACAGCGATACCGAGTAGAAGGAAGTCGTTGGCAGAGGGTCTGCCTCCCGTTTTTCTTCACTAACGCAGCGCACGTTGGTATACAGAGATGTTACTCATTCGCAAGTGTAAATCACACGACAGATTATCAGCTGTTCAAAAGTCGTTCGTTCAACTGTTCTAAACTAGTCGTAGATTTTGGCTGCGTGGACTACTCTTGATCGACGATCACGAACAGCTGTAGATGAACACAAGCTACACCTAAATTTAGAGTCCGAGAAAAACGAGGCACACGGAACGCACGAACGCTACGCTGCCAATAACGAACAATGCTACACTACACACCTCGCGTAGCTAGCTAGTTCAACTTGGCGCTCGCTTGGTTCGCCACCTAACGCACTCCTGTCTCCTGCGCAAGAAATGTAGTTCCTCGAATATAGTCATTCTTTGCGCCATTTTTATTGCTAATTTGAGCTAATTAACGGAAACAGCTGAAATACCGAATAAAATTGTTGTGAATGCTACTTTAACAATCTTATTAGTATCAATAATGCGTACGGTGTATTAATGTGCATTAAATGCATTTGCACCTGGCGTACTTATACACAGGTAATATTGGAAATAGTACCGATTCATCGGGTCATGCCATTTCAAATAAGGGGTAGTGGTGCCAGGTCGCATACGAATGTAAAAACTTGAATCGGCCAAAGCGTGTGCGGGTGTGTGTGTGTGTGTGTGTGTGTGTGTGTGTGTGTGTGCGTGCGTGCGTGCGTGCGTGCGTGCGTGGTGTAGTGTGTCCGCTGTGTGTGCGCGCGCGCTGTATTGTTTTGTTTTGTTTGTTTCGTGTTGTGTGTGCTGTGTGTGTGTGTGTGTGTGTGTGTGTGTGTTGTGTGTGTGTGTTTCTTTGTTTGTCTTGTGTGCCGTGCGTGCGTGCGCGTGTGTGTGTGTTGTGTATCTGTGCGTGCGTGCGTGCGTGCGAAGCGTGCGTGCGTGCGTGCGTGCGTGCGTGCGCGTGTGTGTGTTTGTGTGTGTGTGTGTGGTGCGTGCGTGCGTTCCGAGGTGCGTGCGTGCGTGCGTGCGGTGTGTAGTGTGTGTGTGTGTGTGTGTGTGTTGTGTGTGCGTTTCTTAGTTTCGTTGTGTGCGTGCGTGCGCGCGTGCTGTGTCTTTGTTTGTGTGTGTGTGCGTGCGTGCGTGCGTGCGAGCTGCGTGCGTGCGTGCGTGTGTGTGTGTGTGTGTGTGTGTGTGTGTTGTGTTGTGTGTTGTGTTTGTGTGTGTGTGGTGTGTTGTGTTTGTGTGTGTTTGTGTGTGTGTGTGTGTGGCGCGCGTGTGTCTGTGTGTGTGTGTGTGTGTGTTTCTTTGTTTGTTTGTGTGCCGTGCGTGGCGTGCCGCTGGTGTGTTGTGTGTGACTGTGTGCGCACGCGCGTGTCGTTGTTTGTGGTGTGTGTTTGTGTGTGTGGTGTGTGTGGTGTGTGTGTGTGCTGTGTGTGTGTGTGTGTGGTGTGGTGCGTGCGTAGCGTGCGGCGTGCGTCGCGGTGTGCGTTTGTGTGTTGTGTGTGTGTGTGTGTGTTTGTGTTTGTGTGTTGTGTACTCGCTCCCTAGTTGGTGGTCCGCCTCAGCCGTCTCCACTCAATCTCCCTCCACTGACGCGCACGCGCTCCCTGTGTGTGTGTGTATGTGTGCTGTGATGTGCGTGCGTGCAGTCGCTGTGCCGTGCGTGCGTGCGCGCGGCGCGCCGTGTGTGTGTGTGTGTGTGTGTGTGTTTGTGTTTGTGTTTGTGTGTCGTACGCGCGTCTCTGTGTATATTGCATAAGAAACGCCACGAAAAATTTGAATTCGTTTCTAATCTCATTATTGTACATGAGAACCAAAAATAATCTTAAATTGAACTCATTCTTATCCTACCGTCAATTATTTAAAGTACTCGTACAATAATTGAAATTCATGTTGGGACATAATGAAATTTTGGGTCGCAATGTGCTGGTGGAAGCTTTAAGTCTTTCTTAAAAATGCACGTATATACTTTTAAGGAATGACAAGAGGAATTAAGTGTATGGTTGCGTAGGTGGGGGTGGGGCGCGTGCGTTCGTGTACCCATGCACGTGCATGTTTGTGTTCCCCGTGACATTTTTGGAATAGATAGTATCAGGAGTTAATAAAGACAAATTTGTCTTTATTAACTCCTGATAGTATATACGTACGCTTGTAGCGTTAGTTATCACTCACTCACTCACTCGGGCGGCCTCAGCCGAACCCGAACACAGCGTCTCCACAACCCCTGATTGCGCATTAGGCCCGCCAGCTCGCTGGTCGTCTCCACACCAGTGTCCCTCTTCATGATATCTATGTATGTTCTCCCTGGCTGTCCCCGCCCTTTGCGTCCATGGAAAGGCTCCCATGCAGAGAACAGTTCTATGGGCATGCAGGGAGTTCCGGGTGCCTGTAGCAGTGGGCTGCCAGCTGCATTCTCCTCATTGAGATTTTGTCACCGACCCGTGGCAGTCCACCATATAAGACGACGTTGGTTACATGGCCAGGAGATGCCTAGGACTGCTCTCAGCATTCGGGTGCAGCATCCATTCAAGGAACTTTCAAGTGCACGTGCTAATTGGACCATGCCTCGCATCCGTAGAAGAGGACAGACTCTACTGTGGCCAGGAAGAACGAGATTTTCATATCGCGGAATATGTTTGATCTCCAGATCTTCTTCATGCCATTGAGGGCCTTCCATGCCTTCGCCTTCCTGGTTTTGATGTCGTTGATTCCCGTAGAGTTGACCCATGAACCCAGATATTTAAGGTCCTTGACTTCCTCCGGCTTCTTCCGGACCCCGGTGTTTAAACTCAGCCCCACTGCTTTGCACTCATCTTCCACACGGGCTAGTAGTTCCTGCGCCTGTTGTACCTGGTCAGACATCAGCGCAATGTCATCCGCAAAGTCCAGGTCCGTCTGTACCACTTTTGAGTAACGGCGCGACCTTCTCGGAGTGATGGTAAACCAGAGCTCAGCCTCACGCCCACTGATTGCCCTGCGCAGCGCAAAGTCAAGAACGATGGCGAACAAGAATGGAGCCAATGTGTCGCTCTGCAACACGCCAGTTGTGAATTGATGTCAAACTGATTCGCCGTCCGGTGTTACTACTTTAGCACGAGTGTTGGCATACATCGACTCAATAGCACAGAGTAGATTGGGAGCCACTCCGTAGGCCTTCGGGATTCTGATCATCCGCCCTGTGTAGATTTATTCGAATGCCTTCTTGAAATCGATGAATGTGAATACAGATGACAGGTTACGTTGTTTCACCTCCTCATATACGGTACGTACATCTCAGCGCAAGGATTTGGGCGATGGTGGTGCGGCCTGTTCTGAACCCGTTCTGATTATCTCTTAAATGTGGACCAATGGCGTTTCTTAGGCGTTAGTTGTTATCAAGTTGTTACGTTATATAGTTATTATCATACATGTATTATTTATCATTTATACATGTATTAATTTAGCTCTTAGTATTATCTCTACCGGATTACCCCGCCCCATGCAGTCTCTTAGCTGTTCCCTGTTATATATATATATATATATATATATATATCAAGAGTCCATAATAGAAAATTTCCTATTATGGACTCTTTATATATATACACACACATTATGTATATATCATACAATACATAGTAAGTTTAATATGTTCACGATTGTAGGCCCTACGCCTGTGGCCTACGCCAAAGGCCAAAAGCAAGAGGCACGGTCTATTGTCATCGTCGCCACAGTTGAGATTTTGATTTGGGAAAGTTCGGCCGCGTGCTGCCATCTAGTGGGAAATAGTATATAAACTTCATGTTTGTGGTGTTTGCATGCTGTTGCTGTCACAGTACTGTGTAAGTTATGTAACAACAGAGCACTTTGGTTATACATAAAAACTGTAATTGTGTATTCAGAAATGAATAGGGACTATATTATTAGCTAACTGCGATGATAATGAGTTTTAGTTAGTTGTGCATTCATAATACTGCTGTAAGCGTCTAAAGTCACGTAGGCCTATGGTATGTGTGACTTTTCTCGATAATAATAATATTAATAATACTCTTGTCATTCGCTAAAGAAATGGTAACGAACAGCCAACAATAACAAAAACAGAACAAAATTTAACACTGTTAATACTAATAATAACACACAGTATATCTATACGCCAGTGAGTTTAACAATTCGGTTTTGTACGCTATAGTCTATTTGACAAAATTAGTGGTAAACTAGGCCTACTAAACAGAAGACACCACGCTACGGTCGGAAGCATGCATGACTAGGGCTGAGAGGGTCTATGTCCCCCGGGGTACTGCCGGAACGTACCCTGGGTACGGTCCGGTATACCGGAACGTACCCTGGTACTATCTAATATGCCGGACCGTACCTCGCCTACTCCACTAACGAGTCTAGGGAGTCGCCTACGCCTACTCACTAACCCTAACCCTAACCTGAACCATAACCCTAACCCTAACCCTAATCCTAACCCTAACCATATCAAATAGGGACCAGGGTACGTTCCGGTATACCGGACCGTACCCAGGGTACGTTCCGGCAGTACCCTTGGGGACATAGACCCTATGAGCATGACTAGGCCCTAGGCCAAATTAGTAATTTGATTTTGATTTTATTCGCGTATCATAAACTAGGGTGCATAGCCTCAAGGTAAATATGTTGCAATATTAATCAAACTGTCACGATTATGGCCCACAATAAAAAAAGCTAACGTTTCATTAGGAGTGTTCCCAACTTTGATATCATTAATGATGAATGATTAATGATTAATGATTAATGATTGATAATCCTAACCCTAACCCTAACCCTAATCTAAATGACATTAAACCACAAACTAATATATGACCAATATATATATGTATATATATGTTATTATGACCATTATAAGGACATTAAAGTCAGGAACACTCATAATGGAGTATCACCCATAAAAAAGTTGTATGTCAGGTAGAGGCAGCTAATTGCTAGTAGTAGTATTAGTTCTTATTACACAACTGACAAGCAGTTAAGTTCATGTGTACCTAGGCTAGTATTACATGTTCGTTTCGTGGGCTTGACACTAGATACTCTGGTCCTAGTCTAGAAGACATGTCCCACAATACTTCATGTCTACAATACAATACAATACACAGATGAACACAATGGGTCATGTCTTCTAGACTAGCGCCAATACTCCCTAGATACAATAAGGTAACACTGCAAACCTGCTAGGAGAGTTAGGTTATTATATATAGTACTACATACGCAATATTCAGTTGTCACGTTGGGAGAGTTGTGTATCTGTCCGTCTAATTTGTTGTGCATGTACTTTTCTAATGCAAGATCGGGGCTGCAG